AACTTATTGGGGAAGTTCCCCACCTGGTTGTTAGAGAATAATACGAGATTGGAATTACTTCAACTACGAAATAACTCTTTAAGGGGGCCTTTTCAAATGCCTTCTTATCCTTATCCTCACATTTCACAATTAGATGTTTCTGACAATTACTTAACTGGTCAAATTCCTACAAATTTAGATATGATCTTTCCAAGCTTGGAGTTTGTCGACATGTCCAATAATATGATTGATGGTCGTATTCCTCTTGGTTTTGGCAATATCAGTTCTTTACGGATGATAGACCTATCTAACAATCGTTTAGATGGAGGAATACCAGAACATCTGCAAATGGGTCTTTCCTCCTTGGAGTTGCTCAAACTATCAAATAATTACTTGCATGGTCAAATATTTGGCAATCTTCTCAACCTGGTTCAATTGGGGGCGTTATATTTGGACAACAATCACTTTCTTGGAAACATATCAGACTGCTTATCAAATGCCTCTACGTTGACGGCGGTGGATATTTCTAATAACCGTTTGTCTGGCTTCCTTCCCAAGTGGTTCGGGAATGTATCGGCTTTATCGCAAATAAGTTTGGCCAAAAATCACTTTGAAGGCCCCATTCCATTGGGATTTTGCAAACTTAATTATCTTCCGTTTTTGGATTTATCTGAGAATAACTTGTCAGGCTCTGTGCCAGCTTGCTTCAACCCTTCATCCATAATGCATATCCATCTGAATAAAATAGATTGAGTGGTCCATTGACTCTTGCATTCTATGACATCTCCCAATTGGTGACATTAGACCTTGGAGACAACAGGTTTACTGGTGAAATCCCGAATTGGATATGCCAACTTTCTAGATTGAGGGTTCTTATCTTGAAACGTAACAATTTTGGAGGCAACATTCCCAGTCAATTATGCCAGTTGCAAGAATTAAGCATGATTGATCTTTCTCAGAATAGACTTTCTGGTCCTATTCCTCATTGCCTGTCTGACATCACTTAGGAGTCGAGCATTGACAAATCTCTTACACCAGGAGCAGGATTTCCTGAACCAAGGGAATTATCATTTTCAATCATGGGAATTAATAGACCTTTTGATTTTCCATATCAATCTAATTCCTATTCTATTGAAATGTAGAATGCCAAAGAAAATGTGGAGTTCACAACAAAGAATAGTACGTACTATTCTTTGTTGTGAACTCCACATTTTCTTTGGCATTCTACATTTCAATAGAATAGGAATTAGATTGATATGGAAAATCAAAAGGTCTATTAATTCCCATGATTGAAAATGATAATTCCCTTGGTTCAGGAAATCCTGCTCCTGGTGTAAGAGATTTGTCAATGCTCGACTCCTAAGTGATGTCAGACAGGCAATGAGGAATAGGACCAGAAAGTCTATTCTGAGAAAGATCAATCATGCTTAATTCTTGCAACTGGCATAATTGACTGGGAATGTTGCCTCCAAAATTGTTACGTTTCAAGATAAGAACCCTCAATCTAGAAAGTTGGCATATCCAATTCGGGATTTCACCAGTAAACCTGTTGTCTCCAAGGTCTAATGTCACCAATTGGGAGATGTCATAGAATGCAAGAGTCAATGGACCACTCAATCTATTTTTATTCAGATGGATATGCATTATGGATGAAGGGTTGAAGCAAGCTGGCACAGAGCCTGACAAGTTATTCTCAGATAAATCCAAAAACGGAAGATAATTAAGTTTGCAAAATCCCAATGGAATGGGGCCTTCAAAGTGATTTTTGGCCAAACTTATTTGCGATAAAGCCGATACATTCCCGAACCACTTGGGAAGGAAGCCAGACAAACGGTTATTAGAAATATCCACCGCCGTCAACGTAGAGGCATTTGATAAGCAGTCTGATATGTTTCCAAGAAAGTGATTGTTGTCCAAATATAACGCCCCCAATTGAACCAGGTTGAGAAGATTGCCAAATATTTGACCATGCAAGTAATTATTTGATAGTTTGAGCAACTCCAAGGAGGAAAGACCCATTTGCAGATGTTCTGGTATTCCTCCATCTAAACGATTGTTAGATAGGTCTATCATCCGTAAAGAACTGATATTGCCAAAACCAAGAGGAATACGACCATCAATCATATTATTGGACATGTCGACAAACTCCAAGCTTGGAAAGATCATATCTAAATTTGTAGGAATTTGACCAGTTAAGTAATTGTCAGAAACATCTAATTGTGAAATGTGAGGATAAGGATAAGAAGGCATTTGAAAAGGCCCCCTTAAAGAGTTATTTCGTAGTTGAAGTAATTCCAATCTCGTATTATTCTCTAACAACCAGGTGGGGAACTTCCCCAATAAGTT